ATTTGGACATGAAAATGTAGCATACCACCTAGATTTTACTTAGTAAAAATATCAATGCAATTGAAGAAAATGTTAAAAAGTTATGGTACTTTTCTAATAAATGATGAACCCTCTTGAACTGAGACAACTGTCAGGCAACTTTGTTGACATGCTACATTAAAATTTCACCAGGTTAGATATTTGCATTCTATGATCAATATGTTATTCAGGTTTTTGCTATTTTTAATAAAAATGTCAAATAAAAGAAGCTTTAGTGTCAGGATTAAATTGATTCATAACTGAATGTAACAACGGTTATCAACCTCAGTTACTGTGACAATAAGTTGTGCTGACTTGGTTAACAATTTTTAGTTAGCAACAGAAGCTAAAGATAACCAGAACCCTATCCCTAATTAAACCCCAATCATAATCCAGATATTTTGCACCCTTAACCCTAACTATAGCCCTTAAAAATAATCACAATGTGATACAGCTGTACTACACCAAGCAGCTAATGCTGGTCACTCTTAATCGCAAAAAGATCAGGCTAGCTCAGTCCTCCGTCACCTACATTGGCTATGTATTTAAGGCATGCGTCCTGACCCAGACAAGGTTAAGGCAATCCCTCAGATGCCTATTCCCACAGATACAGCCAGTGTTCATAGCTTCCTTGGATCAATAACCTATCTAGGGAAATTCATACCAAACTTGTCAACTCATTCAAATTTTGTGAAAATTAAGGCATTCACTTAAGTGATGAAATATTACTGGATGAAAAGCATGTACCTGTAGGACAAGGAATAATAGAATAAGTGAATATGCAGTTTTTCACCATTTTGAGCAGTTCTCAAGTGATTTTAGCCACATTTGGGCCAAAATTGTCAAATGTGAACCCCCCTGGAAATCTTTGAAAACTGAACCCCCCCTTGGCAAATCCTGGCTATGGGCCTGGCAGTACTATGTATCATTCTATATTCATACTTGAAACTCATATGAGTTAGTACATAGGCACGAATGCTTTTATATTTCCAATAATAGAATGATACATGATTACTTATTCCTTAACTAAACAATGAGCAATACAGTTTGTACCTGCAAGTTGGAGCTCGACACACCCTTCCGAGTCTTCGCTACAGGGCCTAGAAAGTTTAATGGTTTGAAATGTTCCCAAGTAGAGCTATAAATGTCACCCGAGCCTGCTCCTGATACTTTGGAGTCTTTGGTCTTTTTTGCCTCACGTGTGTACCCTGTTCTGGGGTATTTAATCAAATCTTTAAGTTCTTTTTCTGGAAAATAAAATATGAGAAAAACGTTTAACTTGTATAGGCCTATGTAACCATATATTTTACAAAACGATGATCATCATAATATAATATGTCATGGGACTCCAATATGTTATATCTGATAACAAAATTGGCTCATTATAATCTCAAAGTGGCAGATGCTTATCTTGGCCTTTTTGAAGTTAATGTTGCTACTGGTATTTGTTATCCGGCTCTTGTCTTTTTTATGGAAAAAAATATTCATATTGCACACAAATGACACCTCTTAGATTACTTGTGAATTGGCTTATGAAGTGTAACCTCTAATATTTTGATGCTCCGCCATGTTGATTATGAAAAAATAACATGGCTTGTAGACCTCTAATTGCAAGGGGGCACAGGCTTGCACTGAAACCTAAATAATCTGAAATATACAAATGTCATTTGTGTGCAGTATGAATATATTTTTCCATATACTTTTGCACAATAGTCTTAAGATTTCTAATTTTTAGCTTGACTTGTTATTACGAAGCTGGTTAAATGATGTACATGTAAATGAGCACAGAATGAAATAAATATTTACCCAATTAAAGTATCTAATCTCAGTTCTTACTTTGTAACTAGAAAATTATAAAATTTTTGATCAACCCACAGATTGTTGTACAGTTAGCGTCTCCTTGTAAAGTAACAGGGAATATTATGTGTAATAATATGACTTATTTTACATGTCAATTTTCAAGTTCTATGAAATACATGTACATGAACTGCTAATGGAACTTTACATCTATACAGTACCTTTGTTTTGACTAGTTATGTGTAATAATATGACATGGTTATATGTATGTAACATGTCAATTTTAAAATTCTATGAAATAATACATGTACTACTAATAGAACTTTACATCCATACAGTACCTTTGTTTTGGTTTTGGCTACATTTATACTGCAGTGTCCACATTTATTTGTATTGTAAGACTGGACTCTTACTCAGTTCTGGTATACATGGTATAGGCATAATACATGTACACGAGGACATGTATATGACATTGACGTGTTACCCTTGCAATAGTCATATATAAATGCAGACAATATTCTTAATAAATGCCTGACATATACAGGGTGGGCCAAAAAAAACCAATACCCAACTTTAAATCAGGATAAAAATAGTTACGCTCAATATGGTACATTGACTTATATATCATTTTAAAGGTAATACATTTTCAAACAATTTGGTATATAACACTATGACATAAAATCAATAGTAAAGGTGTATTATACTTATTTGGGAGGCTGGGTCGCTTTTTAAGGTCTCTAGATTTTAGGGAGAAAACAGTAAATCTGTGGAATTTATGTAAACTTTTTATTCATAGAATATCATTTTGTTAGGTGAATACAAGCTTGTATATTTGCATCATTTGTGACTAAACTTATTGTTTATGAATTTCAGTATTGTTTACTATCAATAAGTCCTCAAAAGAGGTATGTTAAAAGAAATAAAACGTATATGTGGTGGGGGTTTTATTTTTCAACAAGACAGTGCCTTGTCCCATAGATCAAAGGAGACATTGGCATTCCTTCACGAACAAGTTGTCAATTTGACTGATCCAGATGCTTGGCCACCCAGCAGCCCCGATGCTAATGTGGTGGATTACCATACATGGGGCCATCTCCATGTATGGTAATGGGTCCAGGAAATGGTGTACAATCACAAGCATCCAATAAAAAGTAGTGATAAGCTGAACCCCTGAATCCTAAAGTGCTGGAATGTATTGCAACAGAAATCCGTTGAAAGATGGCGCTGCTTCTTGAAGCGTTTTGTTGAAGCATAGGGGGGGGGCATATTAAGCAATTGTTTAAATAAATAAATTGTAAAATGTTATTAAACAACACTGAAATTCATAAACAATAAGTTTAGTCACACAATGATGCAAATATGCAAGTGTAGGTATTCACCTAACAAAATGATATTCTATGAATAAAAGTTTACATAATTCCACAGATTGACTGTTTTCTCCCTAAAATCTAGAGACCTCAAATAGCGACCTAGCCTCCAAAATAAGTATAATACACCTTTACTATTGATTTTATATCATAGTGTTATATACCAAATTGTTTGAAAATGTATTACCTTTAAAATGATATATAAGTCAATGTATCATATTGAACATAACTATTTTTATCCTGATTTGAAGTTGGGTATTGGTTTTTTTTGGCCCACCCTGTATATACAACAATGTTAGTGGCATGGATTAGAGATCCTTATCATTTTCAGCAACAGGAAGGAAGGCAGGTTTATTTCATCATGATTTCCAGCCTAGATGTCTTGTAGTTGGACTTTAGCTTATTTAGGTAGAGCTGGAAAGCAACATTTTGCGAAAAATTGCCATACATGCACATGTTATTTTCTGGTACAACATAAAGTATGAAAGAATGCGAGTATTTCCTTGCTTTTTAGAAAGTATCATTACATTTTCTACGTTTAGTAAACCTGGACACAGGTCAATGGTAGCTCCTGTGTTGTCTGGAAACTTTGAAAAAATTAAAAAAAAAATTAAAAATATTATGCATGAAATATCCGCATTTCCTGGAGTCACCATTGGCCAGTAACCAGGTTTATTAAAAGACGGCAATGCAAGGATACCTTCCTGAAAAACAATAATAAACGTACAAATCATTCTGGCGATAAAAAAAAATTCATTTGAATGGGCGATAATATGTCGATTCAACGTCATTTACTCACTTTTGCAGAAGCGATTTCTCTGCAATATCTTTTAAATTCCTGTTTCTATAGGACTTCTCTAGTGTGTCCCATAAACATGGGAGAGTTTGGTAAGCCTCTATGAATTTTGAGATATCCTCATTCGACAGAATGCCCGCCATTTTGTTAGTGAATGACCCAGATGCGTTGTTAGTCACATGACTAATTTAGATAGAAACGGGGGAAATGGGGGAAACGAGCGAAAAGAAAAACGAGCATGTTCGTTTCTCGTTTCAAGCCTTTTCAACCGTTTCAATCATTTCAATCGATGCATCTTGAAAAATGAAATTAGTGTTTCGCTGCTTGCGCCTGTTTCGCCGTTTCAAGCATTTCAATCAATTCGCCTTATGTACTTTCACTTTCACGTTTTCTGAGACCGATAAAAAATTCACATTTTCACAGGCAGTGATACATACCTTCCAAATCAACCAAAATATACTTATATCAGTAATCTTGAATGCTTTTTATTGCTATTTCTTGAAAATATACATATTTATCTACAATTTGATCCTACATATCAAGGATATTAAGACATTGCATTTTTAAAAATATGTTAAGTGACCCCAGGGTTGTCTATATAGCCATTCATTCTTTGCCAAATTTTAAGAGTGTCCATCTTCTTGGAACAATTTAGCTTATCAAAATGGGATAAACTACAATCTAAATCCTTATATCAATGAATGCCATGAAAATCCTTCAGGATGCTGGATGCCTAACATCATCTACAAACTTCTGTGTGTGATATCAAATTCAAGAATACAAGAATAAAAAATATACATCTTATTCTGTGGGGACTTATCCACTAGGATGAATGAGGATAATCCCGGTCAGTGGCTAATGGCGGTCTGCACTGGATTATGCCAGTCTTACGTATGTTTTCAGATAAAAATAAAGCTTAATGACTGTCATTTTAATGTGTGTTTTATTTGTAGATAACTTAGAGCTATAATAAATATGCAAACATTACAAAATAGCCTTGTGTTTGTTTTAATTATTTAAAATAAAATAATAAATATTGATTGATTACTAATATTTGTTGATCGAGCAGTCTTTCCTCTCAATGGCTGCTAAATTCAAAAGTGAGTACGAGAACGCTCACTTTCTAAATCGAATATTTTATTACAGATTGTCCTCTTTCATTGTTTTCAGTATCAAGATAATTGTTGAATGACTTGAAGACTAGTTAAAATAGGAATTCTAAATCTGACCAAAATAAGGCTGTCTTTCAAAATTATGAAATTCTGTTGCTCTATTATACCCAAAAAACTATATTTCAGTCTATGTACACAAAAGACGATTTGGCCAAGGCCGTAGCGGTCTACAGAGAGGGTAAACTTAGCCTTCGCCAAACGGCGGCTAAGTATGGCATTCCAAGATCAAGTATTTCAGACCACAAAACAGGTCAGAAAGGCAGGAAGGCCTCCCACACTTCCCCATGATGTTGAGGCGGATATTGTTCGCAAAACGAAGAGAGCGGCAAGCCAGGGCTTTGGCATTACCCGGATGATGCTTGTGAAAAAAACGGGTGAAGTTGTGAGAAAACTTGGGTTGAAAACCCCCTTCAGAAACGGAACCCCAGGCCCAGTACATGATTCTTGCTCTTTTCTGTAATTAGTTACATCAGTTATAATTTCAGGTTGTAGCATCGTGATTAAAAATCCATGAATGATCTCAATAAGAAAAGCAAATAAGAAATAAATGCGAGTACGCCCAATTGCACGTGTTATCTTGACATTGATAGAAAACAAATGAGAAATAATTTGATGAAATTATGAATATGAGTCTAAATACATAGATGGGCTAATCTTTTATATTTCAAAAAGTAATATTTACTATTTTCTTCTAAAAGGACTGGTGGTACAGCCTACGAAAGAGGCATGACCTAACCATACGCAAGAGTGATGCTCTAAGTACATCAAGGTCTAGACTTCTACAACTTATCATTAATCTTTGATAAATACCTGTCCCTTTATATGCACCCAGAATGCGTCTGGAACATGGATGAGACGGGGGTTTCTCTTGAGCACAAGCAAGTAGCGGTCCTAAGCGCTAAAGGTTTTATTAATGCTAGTAATTACATGCATCATTTTAAGATTGAACTTTTGGATCTGGAAAACGTGATTCAGAATTCGTTTTAATTGTACACATGAATCTACACAAGTAAAATCAGAATACAGACTACAATCATTTTAACCTTGTTTGAGACACAATTGCTGGATGAACAGAATTATAATGATGACAAGGATGATGTTCCCTGCATTTGACATAAGCCAAACAAATCAATCAAATGCATGGAGAATGTGAATTAAACTTTTTGAGACATTTCTCATAGCAGAAAACATTACAAACAAGAAACGTAAGCGTGCAATGCTTTTGCACTTTGCAGGACCGGAAGTGCATGAGATATTTGAGGCACTACCTGATGGGGGCTGTGATGATGACTTTGATACTGCGAAACAATGACTACTGGAACACTTCGAACCTCAAAAGAATCTGGATTATGAAATGATAAATTTCTGCTCTATGAAGCAAACAGAAGGTGAAACCTTAATGGAATTCTATACGCGACTAAGAACCCTAAGCTCAGCTTGTGACTTTAAGGACCAAGAGGAAATGGGAATAAAACGGCAGATAATCTTTGGAACGAAGGATTCGACATTAAAAAAAGCCCTAAACTAATAAATGGACACTCAAAGACCTCCTGGACTACACCAGATATCAGTTAATGGCCCATATGTGACTGTGTGACAAGTTCATAATTAATTTTTAAGCCCTGCTAGAATATTTAGCTAGCCAATGTATTCATTGTTATTAGACCCTCAATAACTTCTTGGCCCTCTCATCTGAGACCTGTAACTAACTTCCCTTATTATACTGCTGTGGTACTTCAGGACATTTTTTATATTGCTGCTGCTGATGATGAAATTGATGTACAAAATGATGGCATGCCTTAACAAATAGTTCCCCATCCTTGTGAACTGAATTCACAATTTTTTCACTTGGCACATTTTGAGGTGGTTCCCGGCTATGGCATTAACAATTGAGAAATAGGGACTGAAAACAGCTATAGTTTTCTTCTAGTTTCTTCTCTTTTGTGAAGATGATTCTTTTTTCACATTTCACATCATCAATTTTCCAAAGGTGATGATGTAACAGTGATGCTATCCTTAGTACCTCCAAATGACCCTGACCACATCTACTTGTTTGACTTGGATTTGATAATGTCAACCAAAAGCGTCATGTCAGGTAAATATAGACTAGCCTAGCTGTAATCAATTTTTTTAGTACAGTAAAACCTGTCTACTGGGAACAGTGAATACTTTAGGTCCTTAAATAAAACATTCAGATTAGCAGTTTTTCACATTTTCAGTTTTTAACATGGGAGTCAATGGGAGATTAAATGCTTTGAACCCCAAAACATGTTCACATGGAAAGAAGATCAAAGATAAAAATAGTGATGGCTTTATCCCTTATGTAGACATGAAAACCATTACCAAATATCAAGATTTCATTCATCCATGCTTAATATTATTCTATATTCTCTAAAATAAAAAGTCTCTGAAACTATGAATATATTATACTGAAGCGAAACTTCTGGTTTCATTAAAAGTACATCATAATAAGCCCCCCCCCTTTATACAGGTATGGGTATACCCTATTAAATCCAATATAATAGCATCCAGCATGATTTAATGGAATTGCTACATTTTGCCACATTTTAGCAAAGACCCTATCCATCCTAGACCTCCAAGAACTATCAGATGATGAGTAGCAGCAAAAGAGTATTGATGAGGTTGCAGATGAGATTGTAGAGGTATGTGATATTGTGATGGATATATATTTACTTAAAGTCTTGGTTAACACCTTTTCAACAGGAATCATGTATCAAAAAAATACTAGTGTTCTCATTTCATTCCATGACTCAATTAAGAAACAGCAATGCATGGTTCTTATTGCACATAATTGTGACACAAAGCATTTTAGCATCTTGGCCACGTCACCTGTATTTTACAGACAGGCAGATGACCCAAGCGGGCATTTTTACTTTTTTAATAGGGGTGGTAGGATGACTGTTATATGCCACCATTTAAATAATCATTTTAGATCTGAATAGCCTAAATGGAGATGTCTCTCCTCAAACCTTTCTCTAACTATGCTTTGTTCAGCTGTGAGATTTAAAATTGATTAACTGAGGTAATTTAATTTCTAATTACAAATGCAGAAAGCACAGAAACATTGAACTCAAAACAGTGTAAATATTCTTCAATAACTGCTACTTTCTTGCTTCATTGTATATAAAACTTAAGATTATTTGAGTAGTAACACATGGTTTCATTTTTCCTAATTCAGGATCCATGTTTATTTGTAGTTTACATCATTGTTTAGGACATTTATCAAGCATGTATATAGATTGTACTTTCAGCTTTTCAGCTCCTAGAAGAAAAAGAAGAGGGCAGATAGGAATAACTAGGCCCAAGGAAGGGAGATCTCAGGAGCAAATAAAAAAAAGCTGAGCTTTGAAGCCAACAAAGAAGAAGAAGGACCATTATTGGCAACATTTAAGACTATTGTAAAGACTTCCCTAATTTTAAACACATCATAATATTAAAAATAAAAAAATGGGAATAATACATATGTATCAGCTTCTGGAATGTATAAAGCTCATATAGATGCCAAAGAAGCAATTCCAACATCTAATCTAATAATCAAGGACAACAAAAGTAAGGCTACAATATCGACTTATGGTGTAAATGCTAATGTACCAAATGCTATTGCCCAGCCATCTGCAACAACTGCTAACAAAAGTGATGTTCTACTTCCGCCCTCAACACCCAATACGAGCATTCAAATTTTACCTGATGATTTCCCTATGGAAGTTGGGCCTGTTCTGAAGTATGGAAGGTCCAAGAAAAAATTATTTTAAAAGGAATGAGTGTCATGTTTGTGTAGTGTAATCAATACAGTTATGATTATTTGTTTCGTTATCACAGCGAACAAAGTTCAGCAGGGATATAGTGAAGCCCTCCCTCAGTTGTCAGTAAGTCTGTTCTTCCATCTGTCAGGAAGATAACTCGAATGATACTCTATTAGATCTCAAATATTATTTGTGTCTTTGAAACTCCTAAATAGTCACACAAATGTTTAAATGGGTGGATACCAACTTATTTAAAGGATTTTTGTGTTTTTTTCAGACATAAAAAGAATTGTCTCAAGAAAGAGACATGAATGTCAAGTTTTCATGATTATTGCATTGCTTATATTTTCTGTTTTCAATTTGAATGTTTTTATGTCTACCCGTTTCACTTTCTAGTTTGTGATCGCTTAAATGTTGTTTAGTAAATTGGATTCGATTGGCTAGTCTATCTTCATTGACAACATATTCTTTGAAATCCAAGTTGTGTTTGAAATGAGTGTAAGTTCTATTTAGTTAACTGTTCTGGTTTTACTCTGGCCAGTTTTGCTTTTCCATTGTGATTTTGTTAAGGCTATAAGTTTATCTTTAACTCTCTTGTATGAAATCAGTTTTAGCTTTTTGAGTTGGAAATGTTATATTTTTAATATTCAAGTTAATGCTGAGTAAATTATTTCTAATAAAGGATTGCCATTAGCTGTAGTTTGATGATTTTATGTGGCTGAACACTTCAGAGATTAGTTTGGGTTTTAATGTGCATCCAGTATTTTATTGCATTTAGTTGAATGTAATGAGACATTGGAAGTCTGTTTCTTGTCTGTTTGTCTGTTGTACTTGTCTGTTTCTCAAAGCATGCCAAGATTGCTGCACTGACAGCTGAAATATTGTTAAAGGAAAAACAATATCCCAAGAAATTGCTATGACATTTTGTTCCCAATTGTTGAAAAAGTTTAATCCCATATTTATGTTTTAGGCCCTGACCAGAACACTGGTGAGAAACCCCAAGTTGTGTTAGTATTTTAACTATTCATCCTTCAGAAAACAAAACAATGTAAGAAAACAATTTCTCAAAGTAAATGCATAGCTTAAATGTAAAATGTTTAAATATCTCAAAATATATTTAGTGGATTTGTAGCGACCATATTTATGTTACAGGGTACATGTATATATTGTTTGTTTTGATATAGATTCATTTGAAGACCATTTCCTTCTCATTTCATAAAAAAAATATGAAATTAATGTTAAAAACTCAGTAGTGAAACTCAAAATTATAAATCCACTTTATTTTACAGAAGTTCACACAAGACCAAACTACCTTCAGAGATAAGGTTACTTCAGCAAATCCGACATAACAGTCAGGTGTGTTCTAAAAAGGGGCGAAAGGAAAGGTATATTCCAGCCTGGAACTATACATTTCAATAATTATGTAATATACTTGTATCTATATGTACATATGTTGTCACAATAACATTTTGACTTACCGGAGCCTCTCTTTACATTTCAATTAATTGGGAGGGTATTGCGTTTGGACTTCCTTGTTACTCTCATTAAGCTTTATGGGCAAATGACCAGTTATCTTTGAAACATGGGTACAGAATACAATAGAAACTTATATACTGAGCTCTGCATTTTGATTGACAAGTTGACTTTTTACAAAGACCCCACGAAGTGGCCTGGGATTTGTACTTTATTCCCACTTGACGCCATTCACGTGACCTAAAGACTGCCTTTATTCCCTTATATGGTAAATCGTCAAGGTAACTATCAAGACGTCATGCAATGCGATTACGAATCGATTGTGTTTCCAAGTAATGTTGTCATGTGACGTCACCGACGCATCCGCCATTGCTCTCAAGTATGGTCTGAACGGGTAAGCGAATTTTAACATTTCTGTCATTTTAAAGTCTGATGTGTGTATTTATAACCAGATTTCACTTCATCTTGATTGTAGAAATGAGTAGAATGGTAAATTATGATTGTGCTGAATCATTATTCAGGCCAGAAGTGGTGAAAAAATCAATTTAATATGAACTTGAAGAAATTTTGATTTAGTTTCTCATGGTCTCACCCTAGACCAAACTTAAGTCTTAGTCTAATTCAGATGTTCTGATTTTGATTGTGAATGGCTAGGCTAGTATGCTGGTCGTGCTTTAAACTGCTACATGCTCAGTGGCTGGTGAATGCATACAACGAAGTTAGACAGCAAGGTGACTTGATTAAAAAATCATGGGTCACTACCGGTACCCCCAAAGCACTGGGGTATGATTATTGACATTTTAACTACATGACGATCATTTTAATATTTTATGAACATTTTAACTACATGACGATCCTTTTAATATTTTATTAACATTTTACTGCAACATTTTAAGGAATAAAACTTCAATTTTATTGCATTTTATTTAAGAGTTTGTTTAAGTATAGTAAGTTGATACTCCTTAGAAAATTATAGTAAGTTGACACTGGTTAGACAATTACCCTATTATCGCCCACTAAGATCGATCTTCAATTATTTAATTATATTTCCGAATTTTATGTTGCCGTTTCTGTTTTACATTCGGCAATCGGCAACTTTATATCAACGGCAATATTTCATGTTATACAGTAATTCGAAAGAGATTTTTAAGTGTGAACACTCAGATTGCTTGTGACAATAACATGGAATTATTCGACATATATGCAGGCATGCCAGGATCAGATGAATTCATGTTCATCAACACCGAGTGCCCATTTACAGGATATTGTGCCAGAGAATCATTTCATTATTGGGGATGCAGTGCACCCACTCTCAGTAAATTTTATGACCCCATTTAGAGACATGGGCAATCTAGCCCCTGAACAGATAATATACAACCATTTTCTGAGTTCTACTAGAATGGTTGAGAGTTGTATTGGGCAACTGAAGGGATGTTTCTGTAAAATGAGAAATATGGAGATGGACTTGGTCCGAGTTCCAAAGGACATTATTATTTGCATGGCATATTAGGGTCACGCCAGAAGTAAAACATGATCTTTCAATATAGAGTATCCAATGAGAGTATTACAATCTGATTGGAAAACCAGGCAGTTTGTCTTAAAATAAACAAAGGCGGTAATTTTTGTGTAGAATGGTATTGAAATGTCTTGTTAACATTATCTCTGTAAAGGCTATCCATGTCTGTGGGGTGGAAAATGTAACGCCAGATGCCTTACATCCTCCTAAGCAGGTGTCCAGAATCCGTACCTCCTTCTTCCCCCCTGCTATAAGCAGTTAGCATTTCCCCGATTAAGAACTCGCAAACACTGCGACAGCAATCATGTAAACGTCATCAGCGCATAATTAGATCACGTGATTTAGTTAAATCGGGCTCATCCAACTCGGTTATAGCAGGGGGTTAAAAGAAAGAAGATATTCTTGATATTCTGGACAGGATGCCCTGTGATCGGAGGATGGATGCCTTATCAAGGAACACTTTTCAGAAATTCTGAGAGGTTAGGTCTCACAAGGATACCAACTTTAGCATTTTTATCAATAATTCAAACGCAAACCAAGGGTAGATTCTTCTGCCACACCTTGCATATTTGTCTTGGATTGTGTAAGTGTATCTTGATCAACAAGTGGCTTAGTTATATCAGTATTGCTAGACTGTACTTTATTGAAGAATAAATAAGTTGATCTTCAAGAGAACTTAGTCACATGAACTCACATGAACTGACTGCACCTATGTCACTAGGTAAAAAAACTACCATTAACCTTGTAGAGGAGGAGAGGCTATTGGGTGTCTTATACATTGTCAGTGCTGTATTTCATATTTGTTTTATGACAGTATTTTAACTGGTTATTATTGTCCTAGCAGAAAGGAAGTAAAAGAAGGTCTTGTCAAATACAAGAAAGGGAAAATAAAACAGAATGCTACTGCAAATCATCAGAATAAGAGCATGGCTCCAAGTAAAATTTCTACAAATTGCTGTGCCCAACCAAAGAAATACGAGAGGGAAAGAAGTGTGCAGAAGTGAAAGCCAGTCCTGTCAAATACAAGTTAGGAGCCATTGGGGATGGTACATCTTGAATCTGGGACCCACAAGGGGGAAATGACAGTGCAATATGTATGATACATTTTACAATCAATATATTTAATTCCATTTAATGACCAAAAAAATAAAATTTTAAATGAGTACCAATACACTGAGATTGACATCTGCTTCGTTTGAAAATAAATTGATAAGACAGCTTATTCAGTACTGACTCCAATGTAAAAAATCCTCTTCCCAGGAAAATAAATACTTATACACCAGTATATAAATTTATGACAACATTGGATAGGGGGTCAGAAAGAAGTCTAAAATCAAATATATATTTTAGATCTATTTTCAGATGAATTAAGATTTATTTAGGCATGCCAAAAGAATACTCTGAGAAAATACGAAAATAAAGTGAATACGAAACTAAAGCCTATACATGACGTCAACGGCAGGAATCATAATTTGGCGCACTTTACAACATCTACAATAGCAAGCAAGACGTAGCTCTTAGCAAGCAAGCCATATTTCAAACGAAAGTCAAAAACCACACAGTAAGTACAATATAAACATAATAGTGATTATTAAATAATCATAGAATATACTAAAAGTCTAGTAGATGTTGAAAAAACATGTTGAAATAATGCATAGTATAGATATATGAAATAGATCTATAACAGATAAGTACGAAAACTATAAGCTAGCCTAGTCCTAGTACACATCCTCTGATCCTATTTTATTAAAACAATCTTGTTTCTTTTCACATTAGATTGTAATATGAGATATATAGGTTCTAATTTCTTGTGACAATTAAGAGTTTGCTTTTCTTGCTGGCTCTCTTTAAAGTTTTTAGATTTTCTCTTTGATACATAGAGAGATCTATTGATTAAAAAATCTATTTCAGAGTATGAAGGACGAAATGAAATTGGCTAAAGTAGGTAGCAGTTTGGTTGAAAATGTTTATAAAGCTAATCCTAAATGGAAATTTAAGTCTAAAACAAAGATAACATGGCACTTTAAGCCAGGAGGTCATATTGATGACTTAGATAATTCCGCAGTAATTTCAAAACCTTAAGACCTAACATTGTATTTGGCAAACTGCAGGTTTCGATTGTTCCAACGCAGGAAGAGAATACACTGAATCAGTACATTCTCATATTTCAACAATAACAGAAAACTATTCGAAAGCCATTTCTATCGTTCAAGAAAAACAACCAGAGAGAAATGTAATTTCAATAGGGAAAATTCCAAATAGATCCAAGCATTGGAAGCATTTAACCCATTTTCCCCATGACTCGAGTACGATCGTAATTGAAAAGCATACCTTTTTTACCGGGACTCGAGTTCGATCGTAGTTTCTCTGGCCATTTTTCTGATCGCTCATAGCAACGGCCTTGAACCCTCCCCTATCCCATAATTTTATGTGTGCATGCGCAATAAGTTAACTAGTACTTCCACATAAACAAATAAATAAAATATCGTAAATTTTGACAGTTTCAAGATGTTTTCTGGAGCTCAGATGTAGTCGATCATTGAAAACAAAATGGCGGAAGTTGACGAAACAATCCTTTCAGACGGTAGCGACATTGAGGTCGATTTTGACGATTCTGATGATGAAAATTTCATCGGAAACCTAAGAAATGTTGACAATCAGGAAATGCAACTTTTGAATTTGGATCTGGGATTAGATATTGACGGTAATTTAATGGACTCTGACAATGAAAATGATTTCATGGGATTTGATGATGGGTGGAGGTATGACGATTTTCACTCCAGGCCCTATCCACTATTCAATATGGACGCTGGTATCAGAGAATTGGACCCCCCTGATTCAACTGCATTACATTATTTTGATCTTATGTTCAATGATGACATCATGCAGTTGATTGTTAGCGAGACAAATAGGTATGCCCCAGATGTTGGACCAAGATGGCACCACTTGTTGAGGAAGAACTCCGAGCCTTTCTTGGGATATGTTTATCCATGGGGATTATGAAACTTCCAAATAGGTGTGTTTTTTAATTTACTGAACACTGAATAATTGAAGCTTGCACATTATTTTACAGTTAATTATTTATAATTCATTTTACAGGGACAATCATTTGTAATTTTTGTTACAGACTTACTTAATTGTTTTTAGGTCCGACTATTGGCGCAAGACCAACTTGCAACAAATTTCGGGGAATTTATGTCTCGAGACAGGTTCGATGAAATTTGGAGATATTTGCATCTAGAGGACAATAACAATGCCAATATCAACAGACAAGATAAAGTGTGGAAATTGAGGAGATATCTGGACAATCTCAACTATAACTTCAAGCAGGTCTATACTCCCAATGGAAACGTTAGCCTTGATGAGTCAATGGTGAAGTACAAGGGTCACCTTGCCTTCAGGCAGTATATGCCAGCTAAGCCTACCAAATGGGGTATAAAATACTGGTCCCTGGCTGAGGCAACCACGGGCTATTGTTGGAATTTCCAGGTATATACAGGGAAAGAAAAGACAACGGAGATGTTGAGGGTGGTTTGACATCTCGTGTGGTTCGCGATCTCACTGCATCCTTGGCCGGATCGGGGGTGAGTGTATATATGGATAACTTTTAAACTTCCTTTGATTTATTCAACTACCTTTCTGTGCGTGGAATCAATGCTTGTAGGACAGAACGATCCAACAGAAAAAAATTACCTACACCATTGCTGCCAAAAATGTCAAACTTGAGCAACATTCATATCGCTTCGCTGAATGGGATGACATCACCTTCTGCCATTGGATGGACACTAAGCCTGTATTGTTTATTTCAAATTTCCATGGTGCAACTGACATGGGTAGTGTGCAGAGAAAACCAACCGCTCAAGAAGCCAATGGTCAGCGTCGCCAGCAAGCAAAGATAGTGCCCAAGATCGTTTCAGATTATCAGGCCTACTACAAGGGGGTGGACCTTTATGATCAAATGGTTGGCTATTATATGCTCCCTCATCGATCCAAGAAATGGTGGAGAAGAATGTTTTTCTATGGGCTCTCCACAGGAGTTCATAATAGTTACATTTGTGCCAAGGCCAACCTCACTCACCATGATCTAAATGAACAACCGTTTTTGAAATGGGACTCTGAAGGACTTCCAGGAAGACCTTATTGAACTGTTGATCGGGGAATGGCGATCAGGCCGGGCACCTCCTCTGGCACTTGCTCCTGCATGCCCTATTGCTTATCATTCCTTGGAACTTTACTATGATACATTCAAAACTTGCCAGGAGTGTATAGCAAATGCCAGACCAGGTGAAAGGCGTGGAGTCACCAAGCACAGATGCCAACAGTGCCATGTTCCCATTCATGAAAAGTGTTTGAGCAAACATATCAAGCGCTCCCTGCGCCAGTAATCATGACCATGGACAGTCTGATGGATGAACTATCATGTTTAATGGTGCTAGAATTTATATTTTAACTTTTTTAACATTCAACTAAGTTAACATGAACTGCAATGCCTAAGAGTCAAGAATTTTTGAATTTTTCACTTTTTGTGAAAAATATTGTTAAACTTGAAATCGGATCAACAAATTGTTAAAAATCATATCTCGGAAAGTAAGGGAGCTAGGAGGCTCAAATAAATTGCATTTTAAAGCTAATTTCAAGCCATAGGAACTTGTGCATTTAAATGAACTTTGTAACTGACATTTTTCATTAGAATTATGTACAATGAAATATTTTTACGATAACTTCTGAATAAAAAGAAATTATTTGGGATAACCCCACACCTACCCTATCCATTTAAACCTGTTTTTGAATGTGTATATTTGAAGATAATTCAATTCCCTTCATTTTGATTTAAACTTTTAATCAGAAATATTTAATATTAAAGATTTTATGTACAGTTTTGCGAGGAATGGTAATTTTAAATGTTTTTTTAGCAAATTTATCCAGGGATTAGGGATTATTTCTCGGATTAGGGTCCAGGGAAAAATGGGTTAAAGTACAAGAGTGATATTGAACATACAAATGCCAAACATTTGGCAAACATACAAATTATAAATGGTGTTAACAAAGAACTTTATCAAAAGCAAAATTTACATGATTATATATTTTGGCGATCACAAGGATTAGAGGATGTGGTAAAAAGTGGACATTTGAAAAATGATGGTACCCATTTAAATTGTAAAGGCTTATCAAAACATAAAAAGCAATCAAATATGCCTTTATTCATGCATTGGGTGTATTAGATAGTTAAGTACGAGTAAGTATCTAATTGTTTTTAATGTTAAATACAAATAATTCAAAGTATCTTTTAGTTGAGAAAACTTTAAAATAATGAAATTTATTTGATTTATTTGTTTTCCAAATATAACAGCATAACTTAAGCTTTAGCTTTAACATTATTAACATATAGCAACAGTATTAACAATACTATTTAATTTTAGGTGATAACTTAAATCTTAAAACTAAAGTAAAGAGTGTCACAGGCATGTCATTTAAGTACGATATTTAATTATTTAAATATTTTTTCTTTTTAATTAGATAATATAATAACTCAATTCTTTTCACTTTTTAAGTACTTCAATTGCAAGAGACAACTATAGTGTTGAAATAGAATAGTCTATTTTAAAAAGGTTTGGCATGGACCAGTGAAATTGATTTAAAATTAGGTCAATTTCATCTCATTAGCAATAGTTGTTTCTTTATTAGGCATGATGGCAGAAAAAGATACAGCAAGTGAGCATAATGTATCAAACCTAAACAATGATGTATCAAACCTAATTTGATAGCTAATTGTTATAGGGTTTGTTTCAAAGCTTATATCATTAGATGGATGGCAGCCTGTACATTGGGCTAAAGAAGTAACCCACGTACCAATGTAACAATAAAATGTGAATGCTCCAGTGACAACTGCCACAAGCTGTGTAACATTTCATTAAGGGACAGTATATCTGCACCATCTGTTGGTGTTCCTGATGCAGAAAATGACCAAAACTTACATCAAAGTCAGTAACATTGTTGTATATATTTGTCAGGCAGTTATGATGATATTGTCTGCATTTATATATGGCAATGACAATGTTTACACACCAGGGCAGGTAATTTATAGATACATCAACTGATGAAAGGATTCACTTTTACTGGATGAGCTGGGAGCACTCTTTGGCTCACTCTATGGCAGAGCTAGAGAAGTAAAGGCATCATATTTTATTCAAATGGTGAGATATGTTCCAAGGCTTATTGGACGAGGCAAGTTAAATCGATAGTTCACAAACATGAACTTCATCAGTGGAGATAATTAACTGCTTGTTTTTCAGATCTCTGGCTAGTTTTGACAAGTCATTAATACAGTGAAACTGTCAATATGGTGGGTATAGGATAGGGCCTACCCAAAACGTTTTAAACTCTGTACTCTTATGATAAGGATACTGACTGGGACATGACCCCTTAATGTGTATAGCCATGTTACAAAATCTAGATTATGCACTTTATGTAATGATGAAGAAAAAACTGTTACTGTATCATTTCTTTGGTTTAAAATGAAAAACAAAAGGTTTTTGCCAAATATTCCTGCCATTTCTAAAGCTGTGGCCATCTTAAAGTGTGCGCCAAAGTTTAAGACTGCGCAGGCTCACCGCTCTCACTAACCTATAATAAAAAGAGATTACCAGGTACAAGCTTCAGAGGTAAGCCAGGAAGGTGAACAATCTTCGTTCCGTGTTGATTCCCCGTATAATCGTAACCAAGTAAGTTTCACCATTGAAATTAAAAACTACTATTAGATATACTTTGTAGATGTTATTTATGAAGCTATTTAGTGTATACATCAATCAAATGGCTCATTTTGAACATATATAAAGTATTTGTGTTTTGTTTCCCAGGGAATTGTATTCCAATGTAGTACACACATAAATAGTGTACATTAGTACTTGAATAGCCTGGTTTACATAATATTGAAGGGCATGCTGATTACATGCACACGAGTATATGAATGAAGGCCTAATTTTGATATAGCTTGCATACCTAAATAAAAAATAAACTCTTCTAATCCCCTAATGTAATCACGGCGGTATACGTAGCCCAATTTATCGGGGACTTTAAAAAAAATTTGATATATATCTTTCCACCAATTTTGAACCAAATTCTTTCACTAGGATTTAGGTTATCTTCCGAATGGATGATACTCAATAAAAACGGGACTCATCCGCGGATTCAATAGAAACTGGATGAAAATGCAGAAGTGCCGAATCACAGATTTTCTAGTGAGGGACCTGTCATTCTTTCAAAAAGTGCTTGTGAATACCCTAATAAGAGAATAACCCAAAAGATAGATTTAGAAGTAAAATACACTGAACAACTAACATCAGGGAGAATGGAGTGGTTTTGTTCTCCCAAAGTGCTGCATACTGCCAAGGAAAGTAAAAAAAACACACACAACCTCAACTTTCAATACCCAACTTCATCCTCAGACTACAAGATCTGCCAAAGGTCACTCCCAAAGAACTACTGCGACTAGAAAAGTAAAGGAGCACGATTCATGGTTGTCTCCCTAAAGAGGCCCAAAATGGCAATCAAAGCCTAGAAAAGAAAAGATTTTGATATCGCTGAGAGAGTGTTTGATGAAATAAAAAAGCAAATCATGCAGCTGAAAGCAAGGAGGCTAGCACATAAACTAAAAGAAAGAGAAGTAGAACTTCAGAAGGAGCTTGGGACAGCCCTGGCACCCATCACCCACTCAGCCTGCCAGACCAAGGAACAAACAGGATCAAAGACCCAGCTATCAAAAACCTCCACCAAGCCACCAGTCACCAAAGGAGCAGGACCCAGGATTATACTAGTTTTGACAAAAGAGACGCTGGCTGATGTCATCGCCGTAATGTGGCCAAACACGGAGCAATATCCCCCTGTTGACCGACTACAGCCTGAAGAAAAATAATATTGTTTTTATTTTCATAAGGACTATTTATACTTTTGGATAATGTTATGAACTTCAAAACAAATGTGACATAACCATTATAATTATAACATACAACTTTCATTTGATCAATGTTTGGGACAAAAATAAATTTAAGGGGGGATATTGTAAAAATCCAGCAATCTCATCTCATAAATAATTTTTGGTTCACCTAATAGCTGCTTACATTAATTGAAATTCTCAGAGACGTATTGTTTTACCTTCCAATTTGGTAACTTTTCTGTGCAATGTTTGAAGATCCCTGCCAACACACCAATGCTGCCGCCGGTAGTACAATCTCCGAAAGTGCTAAATAATGCCAAAAAAAGCAAAAAATCATACAACCTCACCCACCCCCCAATATCCTGTTTCATCATCAGAATACAAAGTCCTGCCGAAGGTCACTCCCCTGCCACCTGACAATCTGTTCGAGGCAACAAATGAATGCAAAAGAGAGACCATCCAGAACTAACGCAACCAAGAAAGTAAAAGGAGCCCGATTTATGGTCGTCTCCCTAAAAACGTCCAAAATGGCAACCAAAGTCAAGAAAGAAAGGATTTCGATTTAGCGGAGACATTGTTTTGGGACAAGTTAAAAATGCAAATAATGCAACTGAAAGCTAGAGGTTAGCATGGAAACTTAACGAACAAGAAGTAGAACTGCAGAAAGAGATTGGGACAGCCCCTGTTGTTTCATTGGGGATAGAGAGACCCGGGAAGACACAGTTTAACCCACCAGCCCAAAAAGAAAGAACAAGTATAGGAGTCCAGACGTCTGTAAAACCCATGACCAACTCCGCCTACCAGACAAAGGCAGTCACTATGCTGCCCCTTAGAAAGCCAGTGACCCAGGGATCCCAAACTGCTATGACCTCCATGACCCACTCAGCCTGCCAAACCCTTAAAAGGCAGCTGTTATAAGAACCACCAGGGGAACCCAGACTGCTGTGGCACCCATAACTCACTCACCCTGCCAGACCAAAGAACAAACAGGGTCAAATACCCAGTTATCAAAGCCCTCCTCCAAGCCGCCAGTCACAAAAGGAAAAGGATCCGGGATTAGACTAGTTGTGACGAAAGAGACCCTTGCTAGTGTCATCGCCCGAATGTGGCCAACAGGGAAGCAGTATCTCCCTGTCGACTACAGCCTGAAAAAACAACATTGTTTTACTTCCTAAAGGACTATTTTTACTTTTGGATAGTTATATGAACTTCCACACGAACATGTGACATAATCATTATAACTATAACATGCAACTTTCAATTGATCAATGTTCGGGACGAACATAAATTTAATGGGGGATATTGTAAAAATCCAGCAATCTTATCTCAGAAATTATTTTTGGTTCACCTTA